TGTCACTATTGATCATTAGAAGGATACTCCTGAAGATGCCACTATCCGCGCGAGTAATATGTCAATCATTCAGCCTCCACACAATGCTCATGATGTAGGTTCCCCGTCTATGAAACCTCTTTTCGTGGGGTTGGGGGAGACATTTCAGACTTCATCTGCCTTAGAACCCATCATTGATGTAATGGGTGACAATATTTCTACTGCGTTTGTACCTCTTCATCAAATGAAACAAGTTGTTACTGTTACACAGACACATGAGGCTCATGATGTGCAACAACCTACACCTGTTCGACCACCTTTGGATCAATTCACTGGTCAGATGAGTTAATCCTCGGATAAGGAATGACGGGTTTATACATCTAGGAAGAAAAAAAAGAATGGAGACCTATTACTAAACTTGATGGATGATACATTATTTGCTTCGGGTAATGGCAGCAAACTTGACAATTCGTTAGCTGGCTCCCGTTTTAGAACCAGAGACAGAGACATGGCTAAATTAGATTTTTCACATGCTAATCGAACTGTTTCAAAATGCCGCCTCACTGTTTGTTTCGTACGTTTCAGGTGATTATCTGAAAACTGCGTTTTGTGTTTTAATAAGAAGCTGAACGTGGGGGGATACCCACGGTCGGCGTTCGCTATCCGTGTTCGCTCCCTTATTTTACGCCCCTGCGCTCGCTTGGTCACGGAACCACCCCGCTCCTTTCTCGTTCGTCTCTCCACTTCACTGGCGACCCATGCTCAACGAACACTTCACTTGCTTAACGTCCACCTCGCTTGCTCAACGAACACTTCACTTGCGACCCCATGCTCCTCCGCTCTAGCCGGTGCCACCTCACTGTCGTTGCTTCTTTGGCGAAGCAGTCCGCTCACCGTACCTCATGCCGGCTTGCTCCTCCGACATTGCAAGTGTTCGGTCACGAAGGTGATTGCTTTATGCGAAAATGGGAGGGGGAAGAGGAAGGGTTAGGCGCAGACAAAGGTTTCACGGAGGAGAAAAGAGGGGAAAAGGAGGATTAATTAAATAAATATTGTTTAAATTTTAATTTAACTTTATTTTAAGTTTATTTTAACTTTAATTTAACTTTATTTTAAGTTTATTTTTTTATTAATTTAATTGATTAGTACTAATTAATTAAATAAATCTTGTTATCGAAATTAATTATAATTAGATAAATCAATATATAACTGTACAATGATTAATTAATAAAAAATTTAAATTATATATTGATTTTAATTAATTTATAAAATTATAATGATTATTAATTAATATAATTAATATATAATCAATAGTTAATTAAGTAATATTAAACTATAAGTTAATATAATTAGCTTCATAAAATCATTATTGATGACTAATCGGTTTTATAAATATTTAATTGTTGATGTACAGGTAAAATTGTCATTTTTCCAGAAACAACTGCAAATGAGCTGTTTTCCACCAGCTGAAACCAAACAGTCAGCCAGCTTATCCGGATAATCTGCTAATCAGCAGCTTATCTAAATCAATCGCTTATCAACAGATTGTCAATAAGCTGCAGCTGCCCTAAACAGACGCTTAATCATTTTTTTTGGGTATACAGGTATTTTCTACTCATGTGTTGTATGTTGGGTGGTTAGGGTGCTAATTTGAGCCCTTTAATCCAATCTATCTGTATCTTTCATTTTATAAAAAAAATGTATATATATGCATATATATATATATATATATATATATGCATATATATACATATATACATATATATGCATATATATATATATGTATGTATGTATATTCATTCAACTTCCTTCACTTGGAAGATGTACATATACAGATATATATGTAGGTACAGATATATATGTACGTACAGATATATATGTACGTACAGATATATATGTACCTACAGATATATCTGTACGTACATATATATCTGTACGTACATATATATCTGTACGTACATATATATCTGTACCTACATATGTACGTACATATATATATGTACCTACCTATATATATGTATGTACATAGATACATATATATATGTATGTACATAGATACATATATATATGTATGTACATAGATACATATATATATGTATGTACATAGATACATATATATATGTATGTACATAGATACATATATATATGTATTTACATATATATATGTACGTACATATATATATATATATATATATATTGAGAAAGCCCAAAGTCTAATATATTAAAAGGAAATAAGGATACATATAGATTGTGTGGAAGGGCCCAACATGACACCTTTCCCCCACGATAAACACTACATACAAATGGTTCAAAAAAAGAGAAAATATAGAAAATTATAACTTCTAAAGAAAAAAAACAAAAAATGTCAAAAAACGTAGTATCAGGTAGGTAGAGAGCGACCCAATTTTGCTTTGTCTGTACCTCTAGCTCTAATAAAGGAGCCATCTAATAAATTGGTAAGATGAGTGTCATTGTCAGTAGTGATCAAAGTATCATCCAATAAGTCCAATAAGTTTCCAAATAAGTTTCCAAGCTCGAGTCGGCCTCCAGTCTTCTTCTTCCTCTTGGAATAGACCTGTAATTCCTCATTCGATGATTGACTCGCCTAATCAGTGGATTGGTCTAAAGTGTGTCGGACATGTGTAGAATGTTGAACATTAGAAATAACTGCTTGTTGCTTGTTGTACCATGCTTGTTGTACCAGCTGATCTTTGATTGAATCAAAGAAGCACTCTCGTGTGCCTCGACATGTAAGCGAGTTTTCTTCAATAACAGTGAGTGGTATAAGCTCTTTTGGATCTATACCTGTAGTATGATATTCTTCATTAGGAGCTGCGATGTTGGGTAGAGGATCGGTTTGCACCTTCTCAACAGGGTTGGTAGATGCTTATCTTTGGCGATATCCAAAACCTGTCCTGTGGTAGCTTTTTCTCCAGATGGAACAAATATGTCCAAAGTAGTGGAATTAGATCTATTCTTATTCACTTAATCTTTAGATTTCAAATTAGGATGAAACTTATGACATTTACCAAGTGTATGCCCAAACATCTTACAATGAGAACAGTGACGGTCTATGCTCCCTGGCGATTTGTTGCCAATATCCATTATGAGTTGTGCCCAACCAGACTTCAGTAACATCAGATAAAGTAATATCTCTTTTCAAAGTATTCGGGGTATAGAAGGTCTGGTTAGGTTGAAAGTCAGTAGATCTAGCTTCATATGGTCCCTAAGTATGACCCCAATAGAGTAAAGAACCCGATGATAAAAAAATGCAGTTTGAGACCTGGTAGACTGAATCATACCGGTACAGTAGGAGGTTCATGATTGGGGTCAAAATTAGGAGAGCACTTGAGTAGCTTCATTGATTTACTAGCAATGCTGAGATAATTTTTGGAGAAAATTCAAGTATAGTCTCCAGCCACGGTTAATTGAATCAATACATATCTCCCATCCATGAGCCCCACTTTCCACTTTCCTGCTAATTTGAGATCATCAAAACTTTTCCTGATAACTTCCATTGGTGAGCGCCCCCACTGAAATTTTCTAATAAGAGCAAACTTCAATTTGTTAGTCAGGGTTGAAATTTCTAATTCCGAGAAAAAGAGTGCTGCTTTCCCACTTATCCTGCTTGCATTCTTAATAAGTCACCTATACCATCACAATATTTCTTATAACTTGAGGGGAAGACAACCGCCATCTCCACCTGAGTATTACCCACCACGTGGGCAAATGAGGCTATAT